CAAACCAACTTTATATTCCTTCCTTTTACTTCTGACAATCTTGATCTTTAATTCATTCAGAAGTTGTCATAGGATTTGATCTCCAATTTTTCTTTTCCCACCCCAAAGATTTCTTTGAGGTTTTAGCAAACCTCTTTTGTAAATCCAATAAAAAGTCATTATCCAGGTCATTCTCTTGGTTTATCATTTATGTTATCACTTTGATTTTAAAAACTTTAACCAACTTCTTTTGTATATCCAGTTGAAAGTCCTTATCAGGGTCATTCTCTTGGCTTGTCATTTGTATTTCTACTTTAGCTGCCTTCTCTATCTTGTAATCCACATTTTTTTTCATTATCTAGTATTTTTGGTTCTACTATTTCTGCATCAGATAAAATTTGTTTCACATCTGTCATTTCTTCAGTAACATCTTTTGGACATAGTCTATCCACGGAAGCAGATATCATTGCTGCATTGTAGCTACTAATTTCTGGCCCCATTCTTTGGAAATGTCCTGAAGTATTTCAAATGTTATAAACTTTTGTATCATTTTGAAACCTCCTGTATTAACCAAAAACCAAAGGCAAGTTTAGACTGTTTTTTTTCCTTTTCTGCCTGGAATCTTTAGTCCCCTCTAGTATCCAATTTCTGAAATCATAAAGTCTCAAATCTCTGTTATGACTTAAGATAAACAAAACAATTTGGTTACCATGAAAAGCTGTTTATTTAATTATATCCAAAATCTTATAGTAAAAATCTCAATATTCCGAATTTGTTTGAACCCTTAATTTGTTTATAGCTTTCTTAGATCAAAATCTTATTTAGCCTTTTGCACTTCATTACCAATTCTTTAAATTCTTAAATTTATGGTTAATTTTTCTTTTGTTCAAGAAGGAAGATAAGCTCACCAGGTGGTTTTTTAAAACACATAATTCGGAAGATCTCTGATAGCCTTTGGATAGTTAAATAAGCAATTTCCAAAAGTCAGGTTAGCGAATGTAAGGTAGTTAGAAAGTGAGGTTAGTGAACTCAGTGTCCTTTAAAAGGCTCTGCCATGGTTGTGAGCATGATGGCTGATACCTTTGTCTCCCGTCGCTCAAACCCATGGGAGACCACTGTCCTGCAGTCTCCTCACAAGGAGCAGCCATCCGGAACACATGTGGGTAATCTCCCATCCTCTTCCTGTCCGGAGGGGTTCTGAAGAACTGGTCTACTCACAGGTTCTTCGGTCTTGGCTGCAGTTGTCATCTCTGTTCTTTTGGACATGTTTAGTTCACCATGCCTCCCCCAGAAGTCTCCTCTCACAACGTCCATCTTTCTTGACCTTTTATGGCTCCCCTTTGTACCTATCCCAGTTCATATTTTGCAGTTCAGAAAAGAGCAAACGAACAAGTGAAAGGAGAAAAAAGGAAAAAATAATTGATGCAGAATTATAATATCAGTAAGTGAACAAAGGGATTATCAAGATTGTACAGTAGCACTCAGTATATCGTTGATGAGAAATTAACCATAAATAACAAAATACACTGAATTATTTTAACAATACGAAAAAGAGATTTGAATCTCTGAGCTAAGTGCCAAAATCTCCACTATTTGTTATTTTAAAAAAATAGAAGAAAAACTACTAAAATGTTATAAATATTACTTTACAAATTTCCCTTTGTTGGACTCTGACTGATAAACAATGTTTATAAACATTTTAAATTTTTGTGTATTTCTGATATCAGTTCTTTACTCAGTTCTTTTCTCTCTTAAGAACCATACTCTAAATATTTATTTTTGCCTTGCTGCATTATATAAAGTATATATGTATAATGGTATGTTGGAAAGATATTGAGAGACGGGGAAGAGACGCTGCCTAGGAAACGGTCAGATAAGAGACAGCATAGCCTGCAGCTGGATAGTGGGTGGAGCAGGAGGCTCAAAAGGGACCCTCCTTAATTTCTCGGGTTGTAAAGGGAATGGAGGGAGAATTGTACTTTCAGACTTGCAAGATTTTGTTAATGTAGCTTTACAGTAAACTAGAATGAGCTCATCTGGTTGTGTTTCCAGTCTGGTCTACCTAGTAAGGCTGACAGTATGGAAGCCATTCTTGCTTATAATTGGTTACTTCTGTTGTGCTGTTAATTTTGCCATTACTGCATATCCTCCAAGTTTAAGTTACCAGTCTGATATCATGGTAACGTTGTGCTAAGTTTATCCTTGTGGCCGTAAACATGTACCTTAATAAATTGTGATTTTTTATTTGTTTGTTTGTTTGTTAATATGTTTTGGAATTATGTCTAGTAAGAAGTATTGTGGTTTCATTTCAGATTTTATTTCTAAAACTCTCTGAATAGTGCTGTGTATTTCTCTCCAGTACTTTTGGGTTTTTTTTCTTTTATATGCCTATCTCATAAGGTAAAAAGTTCCTTCTGTCTCATGGCACTTCCAGCATTTATATATGTAACAGAATATATGTAGCTCAGGATTGAGCTGTGGAGTCCTTGGTGTTCTCTGAGCTTGATTGTTTGCTTGCAGGCATTTCATTACCTAGGTAACATCATCAGTGCTAATGAGTGTGGGGGCTCCCTGTTTATATACAGTAGCTTGCCCTGCCAGTGTTGGTAGAGGTGTGGTTTTCTCCTTGGTAGTTCCTTCATTGGTGTATTGTTCTCTATT